TATGCAATTTTTTTTTTTAAATTTAACCCAACTTAACCCGATCATGAATGAATTGGTATAAATTGCATTACTTGGGTCAACATAATTATATTATTTAAAAATTTTCAAAATAGTTGTAAATCATTTGATACTGCAAATGCAATGTTATTAACTCATAAAACAAATACAAACTAAATCAATCCTTGTATATTAAATATGAACCACTATTTTTTGTGTGAGTATTTTTTTTGAGACTTTTCTTTGATAAGAGAATTTGTATAAATTATTTTAACTTCTTATTTAATTCAGTTTTCATTTATTTACCATAATTGTTTATCAATTAAATATTAATTTTTAAATAAATTGTTAATAAATAATGTACTACAATATAAATTATTTATCATAATCTAAAATATAATTTATATATTTAAAAATATCTATCTTATATAAATTTAAATATAATTTATATTTAAACATATAAGTGTTTATATATATATATATATATATATATATATATATATATATATGTGTGTGTGTGTGTGTAATTTATTTATTATAAATTTTAATTACATATTATATACAATAAACATGCAAGTGTATTGTATATGCTAAAATACTAGTTCTTTTGATACATTGTTAGAAATACAATTTTATTAACCTATAAAGTAAATAATGATACAAACTAAATTGTAAAATAAATTTGTTGATTTGTTACATTATTATCAACAAATAAGACAAAAAAAAAAACCTTTTATAATCTTATATATGAGAATTACAATTATGTTAACAATAGGACAAAAAAAATGTAAGTATCAACCACAACTAACTTAACAAACTTCTAATGTCAAATATTATCAAAATAATAACTTAAAATATTACTAAATAATATTAATTTGATACTAATTATTATAATTTTTAATTAATATGTACAAAATTTAGTGAATAATATAAATCTATAATCACATAAACTAATATTTAAGAAAAAAAATATATAAATAAATTTGGTAAGTGAAATCACGAGTCAATCTCATCAACAATACCATGATGAACGAAACTATATTTTTTCTTATAATCACAATGGGCTAATGTTTTTGGTACAATTGGCTCAAACTTGTTTTGAGTTAGATTAATCTACGACTTCCAACTCAATTTGATGACTTTACCTTTGGATTAATTTTTTTTATTTAAAAAAGTGTCTGCTTTAATAAAATAAGTATTTTTCTTTTATATTTGGCAAAACTAGTTTTATAAATAAATAGTTTAATGTTGTTTTTTTTTACAAGAAACAACTCTTATTTATTTTATTTTTTTTGAAAAAAAAATAATTTTTTAAAGGATTTATTATAATATTTTTAAAAAATTTATACAAAATGGTCCGTAATAAGAGGCCGAAAATGTAATTCAGAAGAAAAAAAATGAAATATAAGAACGCAATACTAGGGTTTTGACTTTTGAATGGAGGATTCGAGATAAAAACAGGTATTCCTTGCGGGGCCAAAATAAGGCCCATGAACTCAGCCCAAACTAACGATGGCCCTTGAAATGAAAAGTGAGGGTAAAATCGTCAATACGCACAGCATGCATCCATTCCCTTTCCCTCCTAACCCTAATCCCTCTCCTTTAAATACCGTCGGTGATTCTGTGCCTCATCGTCTCTTCCATTCCGATTCCAATTCCTAACCCTAAGGATTAAAGTTTTGTATTGTTGTGCGATTTGGGTTTTTTGTATGGTTCCCAATGTTTAACGTCGTTTTTTCGCATCAATTTTCAATTTCGTTTTTCGGATCGAAAGCCATATGATGAGTTTGGATTTACAATTTCTCACGACGGTCGTCTGAGATTACTGTGATGCATTGATCCTCTATGTCTGATGGTTTTCTCTAATTTCCTTTTCTCTTTCTTTCTTCGTTGCAAAATCTGAATTTTTAGGTTCAATTTTATTATTATTATTATTATTATTATTATTATTATTGTGGCGGGTATTATTACCTCTGATTTGAATTCACAGAGCGATTTGAACTATTGATAATTTTTATTTGTTTTTTTTTTGAATTAAGAGTCGAATATCAATGATTACGCCGTGTCATTATGGGGCGTTTGTGTTTTCTTAGTACTGAAAAATAATATATTTTGTTTTTACGAAGAGATGCTTGCTTTTTCTGCTTAATAAAAAATTGGATTGATTTTTGTCATATAAACATTACTAGCTTATATAAAAAAAAGATTCAATTGTTATATATTTATTTTCCACTTCTCTGTGAATAATGTCTTTTATTTTTTTCAGATCGTTTTGATAGTATGTAGCATTGACCGAGTTTATGCCGATTATTATTTTGTTAAAAATGTTTAAGAGGCTAATGTTGTTCGAAGGATATTTGCAAAAGTGAGCTGATTTGCAATTGGGTATCGGATACAATTTTTTTGGTAATAACTTGTGGGTAGGAGTTTTAAAAGAAGAAACCTGAGTAGGAAATTTAATTTTACGTTATTTGTGGATGGGTTTAAATCGCCAAGTTTTTTTTTTTTTTTTTTTTTAATTTGTCTGATTACTGCTATTTATGAAAAATTATATCGATTTGTGACTCAGAAACCATCGTCCCTAATTCTTTTAGTAATCCTCCACAAAAATGCCTGCCAATTGGTTGATTAGCTGGAAAATAGATTTTTGAAGAATGTTAACCTATGAATCAATTATGCATCTTAAATAATTTATGTAATTGATTAAAAGGGAATTGTCATAAATTTTTCTTCGGTGGACTATAAAGTCAATAGGATGTCGTTCAACGAATGATTTGCAAAGTGGAAATCAAAATATGTTTCTAATATAAAGTTTTGAATGAAAAGCTTTTCATGGATAAATCAAAAGATTTTACTACCGAAAAATAAATTGATAAGTTTTGGTATGATAACAGGTAAGCAAATTGATTTGATTCTGAATATATTTTGAATTTCATAATCAGATTTCTTTGTAATTATTATCTTATTAATAACTAATAAGAAACTAGCTTTGAAGCTCTAATATATTTGACATCTAATATATAGAGAATAAGCTCTTAGTTGTATAATACCTATGTTCTGAAACACAAGTGGGAGTATTCTTCAAAAGGATTTGTATTAACAATGTACAATAATTTGGTTATGATATAATAACATAAGTAAAGAGGAGGGGTTGTTTCAATGAATTACAACATTGTAACAATTGTCTTTCTAAACTTAAAGATGGTACCATAAAGTCTTTCTTGCATCAAAAGCTTTGAATGAAAAAACAAAATGTTAATTAGAACAAACTGTCTTTCTTGTAACAATGGTGAGTTTTAAGTCATAATCTTATATGCGAGTAGTGCTGATTTAAAATCAATTGATTGGATTCTAGAATCTGATGCCAAATACTTGTAACAGGCTCTCTGAAAGACTCAACAAATATCTTCCACCTACAATCTCCAGACATCCATAGTATCAACAAATATCTTCCACCTACAATCTTCAGGCATCCATAGTACATAGTACATCATTATTTCTTAAATGATGAAAGAAACTTAAAAGTTCTAACAAAAGACAATATTATGTTTATGTTCACTGACATGTCCAAAATGTAGAAGTACATCATTATTTCTTTAGTTTAATGATATATGTAGTGTAGGAGTGGGCTCACCAGCATGTCATGGCTCATGATTTCATATGATCATCCAATGTATAGGCATGAATATCAGAAGCACCAGTACCAGGCCTAACAAAAACCATCAGAACTAAATCAAGCATGTGAACAGAGGTATAGCTACAAGTAGAAGTATTCAAAATAAGCAAACCTTGTACAAACACAAAGAACAGAGTAACAAGTAAATGATTAATTTATAACTTTTCTATAACATTTATCCCACAGCAAAATGACACTAGCAGATAGACTCACACCAATTAGTTGAGACATATGGAGTTAATCTTTCTAATAGAATTATTCCTAAATAGAAGCACAATTACTAAATAAAATGTTGAACTTTCTTACCTCAAACCATACAAAGTAAAAAAGATGAACCATTCTACACTAAAAATGGAAATACCTTTTGTTAATGGTACCATAATGGAATTTTGGTTTTCCTCCTGCTTTCATATCCTCAACATACTACAGCCATGAGAAAACACCATAAGACACATTATAAGCAGGAAAAAACATACCCAAAAGCTTTAAATAAAAAGGTTAAAAATCTGAACCATACCAAACTTAAAGTAACCACCATTGATGAAAAAGATAAAGAACTGAAAGGTATTTCATTGAGTGAGAAAAGCTGACATTCTGATGATTCTGGACCAGGTGAAAAGTGGGGCTTCTTTAGCCTTGCTAAGAAGATTATATATGTCTGCCTCAAACATACCATAATCATGACCAGATAGAAGGTCAACCAAAAAAAGAAAATAAATAAATAAATTAATGACTTAAATATATTTTTAGTCTTGCAAAAATGAGCAAATTTTGATTTTGATTCTAGTAAAAGAAATTCGTTTTTCATCTCTCTAAAATTTATAACTATTGTTTTAGCGTATGATTATTTTTAACTAATTATTTGTTTATTAAAATTTAAAAGGTTAAGTAATCATTCCAGTGCTATCTAGAATTGTTAGTAATATCATGTCACTATGTGACACCTAATTTTTTTTAATAGATTTTTAAAATAAATATTATTAACTACCTTAAAATGATTGCTAAGACAAAAATCAATGACTTCAAATTTTATAGAGATGAAAATTAATGGAAAATATTTTTCGGAGAGACTAAAAGCAAAACTCACTTATCTTAAAATCACCAAAATAATGTTTAAATTTTTTTAGAAGAATGAAAACAATGAATTTTTTTTTACAAAGACCAAAATCAAAATTTGCTGATTTTATATTAACTAAAAACATATTTAAGCCATAAATAAATAATTCTTGCTTACTTGACCAATTAAAGGAATATCCAATTGAGCAAAGGGAGAAATCACTTCCACTTCAGCATTGGCTTCCTCCCTAGTTTCCCTAATAGCACCTTCCATGGCTGACTCTCCAATTTCCAAATAACCAGCAGGAAGCGTCCTTGTTGACCCCAAAATATGAAATTAACAAAGTTCATCAATGATAAGAGAAGCAATGTTCATCACAGAAAGAAATTTATTAGTATTTTTGTTTTATATACAAATTTCAGAGAAGTTCAACTGTACCATAGGCCATAAGATGGTTCAATCTTCCGCTTGCAGAGAAGCACTTTGTTATCATGTTCAATGAGGCAACCAACTACCTACTTTGCCATCCAAATACATGCCATCATAAGAAGAAGAAGAAAGTAGTAAGTGCTATAATAAACGGTTATTAGAGCGATTTTTCCAGATACAATTCAGAGTATTTATCTAAAAAAATACAGGCTTGGTCAAATACTTTTATAAGGAAAAAAACAAGTTAAATCGGAAATTCAAGTAAAATAAATCTAACTTAAAATCAACTTATGCACCTTATATAATCCATGCATTATATTAGTTAATATTGAACCTTTTCTCCCAATGTCGGTAAGAAATGTGACTAAAATATCCACCAAAAGCCATAATATTTAAAATAAGTGATAGACTTATGATTACTAACTGTCAAACACTTTCAGTCTAGAGGATCATACTAAACCAACTTGAATAGAACGTTAGGTTATCCACAAAGCTGTAACATTCTGCACATCTTTACAATTAAAACAATAGAATTCAAACCATCCTTCTGAAAACTGCAAAGTAATCAATTTCTTTACTAAAATAAGAAGTATTATTAGATAAGAAATAAGAAATATTGCTAAATGCGATGATGGGATAAAATGAGGCCATAGCTTAAATTTAAGGGTAAGATTATTTAATAAAATAGGAAGTTCAAATCAGCCATCAAAACTCAAAATATTCCCACATATTATACATGAAAGAACAACTGAATCTGAAACCAATTTTATTTTGCATAAATGGTTAAATAGGCTTCTTGCACAGCTGCCATCATGCACATCACACACACGTCTCGTATTCCACTTTTAAGCAGTGAGAATATTCATACATTCAAGAAAATTTCCAATTAGCATAAATAAAATTTCTCACATTTCTTCTTAAGCACTAAATTGTATTATGTATAAGCTCCCGTGATTTTTAAGGCATTTACCATTTTTGGATTCTGATAGGCAATCTTCCCACAACTTGTACATATAGCTCTCAACCTTTCTTCTCCCTCAGGTATTTCATGCTTTGTTGGACCACCACACCACTGACAGAACTTAACGTTTTGAACTTCTCCCTACATTGCAATAGAACTCAACAATAAGACCAATAGTTATAAGATATGGGGTTTAATGATAATGATCTGCCAGTTTAAGAAGATTTATATTGTCGACAAATAAAAAATTATTGTCAATGTGACTTTTAAGGTAGCTGTTGTAAAAGTTAACAAACTTAATATACGCGGTACTTTGTTACACTAAGAGTGTATACCTTTTTTTCTCATAAGATAGGATAGAAGAAATTGTATGGTACCCTCAGAAATTTAAGAGTTCTGGTACTGTTATTGTCTAACTCTCTTTCTCTCCCTCTCTCTCTCTTCCTTAGTGTGCCCAAACTTATTCAACAACTGGCTCAGAAAAACAACTGTACCAAAACCCTTATATTCTCTAAGTACCATTTCTACTCCCAAAAGATGGATGGTAATGAAATTTGTAGAGTATAGGGATCTACAATTTAAAGATTTTGGCATAGTGTGAAGACAGCTTTCTAATTAAGTCCATGGAAAATCTGCGGCAGAAAAGGGGCATTCCTATAACATCAAAAGCCAATCCATAATGCAAGTTGCAACTATATTATTTAAAAGTGTAGAGTTATCCATCTACCTACCACCACAAACTAAACTCCAACCAACCACATCCAAAAGGATCTCAAATCCTACACACACATCAAACTTAATTGTACATGTAAGTGAAATTGATTAAAAGCAGACTACACTAGAGAATGGAAGGTTGAACACATTAAACAACATAGCTATAAGGATTGATTTCCCTTAGTTTGAACCCAAAGACTTGTTATGACTAAAACAATCTAGGGGGGTATTCATTGTTATTCTTCAACAACCCAATTCACTAAAAAGTTAATTAATGAAAAGAAAAAAAGAAGAAGAAGAAGAAATGTAATGGTTAAAGTAACTCACTGGAGAATGAAGTGATGAAGCAGGAGAGTGATCAGAAGAAGAATCCATGCCCTTGATTTATACGAGGCTTCCAAAGTTGAATAACAAACGCAGATGAACAACCCGTGTTCTTAAGAGCTGAAGCATTGTGAAGTTTTATTCGTGGATCGCGGAACAAGGAGCTTATTGATTGCAGAGAGGTGATCACAGAAAAGGAATGTTATCCTCTACAGTTGCGGTATAACTTTAGGATCGTGCGGTTCCCTTTTCAACCGTTGAAAATTTACGAGCTTGCAGCTTTTTATTACTTGTGGTGTAAAAAATATTTTGGACGGTGAGGATTTGCGCAGTTGAAATTTCAACAGTAGAGAATCCATTTCCGACAGGGACAGAAAATGATGTTTCAGCAACAAAAATGATGGCGACAATATCCTAAATATAATTTTAGTCTAGGAAAGTATACTTGGTCAAATTTTACTGTGAGATGATTCTATTCTAATATAGTTTATTAATTGTCTTTTCTTTGATTTTTAAATTAAAATATAGAATTTTAATAGTAAAAATTATCGTTTACTCTATTTTTTAATTATATGTTTTCAATATTCTTTTTTAAAAAAAGAATTTTACCTACCGGTTCCACCGAAATTTCCAATCATCTCAAACTACTTAATTTTATCTTTACACGCATACTACTTGGTTTTCATAATTGTTTATCTTTTTGAATTTCAATATTTACATTTAAAAAGCTTACAAAAATTATATTTTAAGAAATTGACAATATTCAGTCAAAAAAAAAAAGAAAATGACAATAATAAAAAATAGTTTTATATTATCTTTAGATTATTCATTATAAATATAAATATAAATATAATTTATGTATTTCAAATGTGTATTTATTATATTTTTATATTAAATTAAATATTTATCCTATACTCTAAAATCCAAGTCTCATTGAATTTTTTTTTATTAATCCAAATTATAATAACGACACCAAAATTTGAATATAAAACACAATACATATTATTTTAACCTCTCATAATATATATAATACTCTCTTCAATAATTTTTATATCACATGTCATCTATTGATAATATTAAACTTGTTTTAAATTTTATATTATTTTTAAAATTATTTCTAACATTAATATCATACTTATTTTACTAACTATATTTAAAATTAAGAGAAATAACTTTATGATAAAAATATTTTATGAAAAATAATTAATATAAAAAACACTTTAGATTAATTCTTATGACAAACACTAAATAATATTTTTGATTTGCATCTTATAAAAATTGCACGATGGAGTATAAGCACATGTTGATTGATTCAAGTATTGCAAATCTAATTTTTAAAAGTAAAATTTTAGATTAAAACAGTAAAAAAGAATTCCTGTTAAAATAACTAATTTTTTTGTGTGGAAAAAGTAACTTTATAACTGTAGGAATGGTTATTACTTTTCTAAAGTTTTTATTTTACTGTTATCTCATCTTTTCTGATTTTTTTATTATATAATTTGTTCTCTTTTTCTTTTTATTTTTCTCTTCCTTCCAGTCAAACATCTCTGCACCTTCCACTCATACATTCCATTTTTTATCTCTTCTTTTCTTACTATATTATTTGTTAGATCAATCAATTTTTTTCTCTCAGTGTTTCTCTTCCTTCCACCTATACATCTCAAAACATTTTCCTTTTGAGGAATATTTCCCACTTAAATAAGATTAATTTCATTAAAAGCCACTTTCTCGTCCTATATCAATTGTCTATTACATGAATAATTGAACATGAAAGGGCAATCAATATTTTCAAATTATTCATCCCTTTGTTGGCTTGTTCTAAGCCACAATTGACTTTTCTCCATGCTAACTTCTTTTTCTTCTTGAATGACGGGTTTCTCTCAATAATAAATAACTTGCCTTTGTGGAGGAAAAGAAAAGGACAATGCGGGCAACTCAACTACAAACATATTGGCCAACTAACATGTATAAGATGTGTTTGGGATGGCTTTGAATGATATTAAAAATTAATTTTACCAAACACCAATAATATAATGTAACTCTTTCTTAGTTGACTTTGTTGAAAACTCAAAACCAACAACAATGAATTTGTAAAACTTTACTGCCAAAATGTTTGTAGCTTACGGATTTTAGTTCTCAAGGGACATCAAAGTCTTTCGAAGAATATGGTTACTCCATTATAGAGAGAAGAGATGGGGGAGAAAACATATTATGAAAAAGTATAGAAGATATGCATGAATGAAGGAGTTAAAATAAGAATAATATATATGCTGACAAGGTAAATGTTTTTTAGGGTTTATTTAATCACACTGTAATGAATTTTTTTTTTAAGTTTTTGGCCACATTTAATTAAGTTCCTAACCTAAGAAAATTACAATTGGATTCTTGGTCTTTTACGACTTTTGTAGTTAAGCCCCTGGAATTAGTAAAAAATTTGAAACTGCCACAAATGAACCACATGGACTTAATTACAAAATACATTAAGGATAAATGATCCAAGTACAACATTTTTAAGTTCAGGGACCTAATTAAAAAATTATAATAAGTTTAAGGATCAATTCATGTATTAAACCAAAAAATTATAACTAAGATAAATTTTTATTAGTTAACCATGTAAAAACTTTGATGCTAATAATATATATTTATTAAACTCTTAAATGCGGTATGCATAACTATGTTGGAGAAAAATCTTACTTCACCCCTACAATATTCACATAAATAAATTAATGAAAAGGAATGGCAGTGATCTAGTGATAAAATGGTGATATGAAGCACCATACATATAATTTCCACAAGCATATAATAAAATTACAACAGACCAAAAGATAATGAAAGAGAGCTTTCAAAATAAATTAGCTGGGGCATTTAATTGCTAAGAAACAGAGACTTCTACAAAAGGTATTGGTAAACCTACTCTCTAATCCAAGGCCAGCTTATCACACAAAGATTGATAAGCAGAACTGCAATGCTTGAACTTTTCCTCTGCTATAACCTACCAACATGCATAATGATTAAAATTATTAGTGACCTTTACATGTATGATAGAAATTCCTCAATAAGGGAAAGAACAGAAAAGATGGGAGAACTAATCAGCTGTTAGAGCTTGGCAACACCTTAGAAGAGCCTTGATGACGATCTGGATGCCACTTTAAGGCACATATCCGGTACCTGATTCCATAAAATTGTTTAAAATCACATTGCAGAGGAAGTGGGAAAGAACTCATTGAACAGTTTAAAATCACACTGAAGAGGAAGTGAAAAAGAACTCACGCATTTTTCACTTCCTCAAGTTTCAGAGGGCCATAAGCACTCAATCCAAGGGCTAATCTTTCTGAAATTGAATCTGAATATGAACAATCTGACTCGGACTTGGTTGATGAGCCATATTTGTTTTCACTCTGACGTCTCTGGTTCCAAGATTTTCCCTGACTAGAAAAGCCTCCGGACCTCTTCCATTGAGGATTTTCCTCATTTATAAAGGACCAATAGAAAGATCGGTTGCCACCAAAGGCGGAGCGAAAAACAGTTTCAATATCAAAATCATCTTTGCAAAACTCATGGTCTCCTGAAAGACATCAAGTTTGTTTCAAATATATAAATGCAGAACAAGAACTATAATATCCTGAATCTTCTTTGCACTACAAATAAGAAACACAATGAGGCTTATTTAAAAAAGTTTGTGATGCAAATGCGAGTTAAAACCAAAACAGCTACATGATCATTGATCTCTACTGGTTAAATACACCAATACTACTCAAGCAGACATGGAAGTTTTCCAGACAAGATGTTAATGCAATTAGAGGATTTTCCAGAAGAAACAAACTAAACTCCAATCAATAGAGAGCCTTGAAATATATGAAAACAGAGCAAAACCTATAATATCATGAATCTTCTTTGCACTAAAAACAATAAACAAAATGTAGCTTATTCAAGAACGCTTATGTGCAAGTTAAAACCAAAACAACTACATGATTTGTACTAGTTAAATCTACCAATCGTACTCAAACAGACATGGAAGTTTTTTGCAGTACAAGATGCAATTAGAAGATTTCCCAGAAAAAACCATCTAACAAACTCTAATCAAGAGAGGCTTGAAAATCCAGAATATTCTTTGCACCAAAAATAATAAACACAATGTGGCTTGTTTAAGAAAGATCATGATGTACATTAAAACAAGAACAGCTACATGATCTCTACTAGTTTACTCACTACTCAAGTAGAAATTTTTCCAGACAAGATGCAATTAGAAGATTTCTCCATCAAACAATCTATAATCAGGAGAACTAGTACTGCTAGTTAAACATACACTATTACAGCATAACTATTTCAAGCATCCTTACTTTTTAACCGGTGCTTTGATCTTTGATTGCCACTCCCATGCCTTGCAGGGCCCTTAGGAGAATATTGTTTTCTAAACCATGAGGGGTCTTGACTGGGAGACGGATCATCCTCGTCAATGTCTCCTTTCCAGCTCTAAGCCATGGAAGAAAACAGAAAGCACAAGCATTTTAGATGCAACATCGTACTACCAACAAAATCAGGGAAGAATGCAAACAGGGGAACCATCTAGAACTATGACCAAAAGAGTTCATATTCAAAAAAAATAAAAAAATACTACAAACATCAATCATACTGAGGACTTCTTAATATCAAATTATCGGGGAGGAGCATAGCATTGCAAACTTTATCAAAATTACCAACACTAGAAACCCAAATGGAATCCACCACAAACATAATGAACAAAGACCAAACTAATCATATCACAGAACAGTAAGATCGTTAGCCAGTAATAGGAGATAAAAAGTTATAGTCCAGATTCTAGAAATGCAAAAGCAGTTACAGAGGTACAATTAAGTCTGCCAGAAATTCTGTTCACTACGGAAAAATAGTTACTGCAGAAGCATAAATGTATAATATAAAACAAAGGACAAAAATAAAATGCAGTACTTTACGTACTTTTAGCGTTGTTTTCTGATCAAAATTGAGATTTCACCTCAAAAACCAACACTGACTCTAAATGCCAACTTCTATTGCATAGGTTACCAAGATGAAACTCTAACTTGAGAACAAGTGAACAACAACTTTAACATCTATCAAACTACATCTATGTTTTGTTCCCAAAATAAAGCACCGATAAAAAATTTAGGAATGGAAAAGTTACTCGGAATATGCAGATAATCCAAGTTTTATAACAGCTGGTAATTTCATACGAGAACAATAAAATATCGAGAAAAAATGCAAACAGAATAAAATAAATCAATGAAAAGCTAAAATAAATATAGACAGCTAATATACTTAAAGTGTCAACCGGTCAAAAATCATTCTTGTTGTTGGTATGACTTTAAAAGTCAACAAACCTAACATTCATGAAAAATTGTATTGGATGACATTGTAAAGTAGATATATTATTTACTCTTAAATAATTGGCCGAATTTCACAAGTTTAAAATCCTCTAGAGCCATTGCTAAGAACCTTGATTGAGTTCTCCAGCCCCCAAAACACCCCATTATTCATTCCTCTGCTACCAAACTAACACTGAACTGAAGGCTTATGAATATGGAGGGAGGGGAACCGCATCAATCTTACACACTAGTTCATTTTTCCAATTCGAATCTACACTTTGAAAATATGGTCTTTAACGGAGTCAAATGACATAGTTGGATCCATGTAGCATACTTCACTTAATGGGATAAGACTTTTGTTGCTGTGATGTTAACCAGTTTAATGATGAAAAATATGGTTCCCATAATCACTAAAGTTTCTGTTTTACATCTGCTATACTAAAGAACATTATCATTTACCCAATAAAAAAATATTTTATTATTTGGGAATATTATTTGTTTAAAAATTAACGGCTTAATTACATTTTCTGCTACCCTTATTTCACGAATTTGACACAACTTTTAAAATTGTACATTTTTCCACCAAATTTTCAAAATTTTGCATATTTCGCCAAGTGCCAACCCATTAAGTTGACCCTAGTAAAAAGACTAGAAGCAACATAAGACGAACCTGAAACATGAATTGTGCGTGAGCATTGATATCACGGAGCAGTGTTTGTTTGGCACGCAATCTTCTAAACCTTCTCGAGTAATGGTTGCATTTCTGCAATGAAAGAGGTGTTAGAAAACGGCGTGCAATTCATGGTGAACCAAACGGGTGCAATTGGAGGGAACTAACAGAGTCCAAAAAGGTGCGGGATTTGCGTTCCAAGAGAGGAGTGGAATGAAAAAGTCTGGTGAACATGGGCTTGTTCATTTTCTCAGAATCTAGAAGCTTCCATAACATAACATAACCCAACAAACATCATCGTCACGGTTCATGGGGGAAGAACTAAGAAGAAACCTAACATGTGTCCCTGCCTGAATGCCTGACCCCAACGACTGTTTCGCCCTTTTTGAGAGCAAATTTGGGAGAATTGAAAGAAAAAAAAAAAAAAACTTTAATTGTGCTTTTTAAGTCTTTAAATTTGATGTATATATATTTATTAATTTTAATTTTAAAACTTATATTTTTAGTCTTTAAAATCTTAAAAATTATTATTTTATTCTTCAAATTGAAATTTATTTTTTGGTTCTTGGAATTTAAAAAAATATTATTTTGATTATTAATATCATAACTAATTGTGTAACATTCCAAAAATTTTAAAATTATTAAAGGAATTTTATAAAATATTTTTAGAGATTTTTAATAAATATTTGTGAAACTATTTTATATAATATATATTAGAGAAATATGTATTTTTTAATGATATTTTGTTATAGAAAATATTTAGAAAAAAATGTTTTAATTAATTATGTAATTAAATATATTTTTGAAAAATATGTATTTCATAGTATTTTAATATATATATATATATATAATTATTAATTATTATATTTTGTTATGATTAATTGAGTTGGTTTTAATAATTGTATTAATTATTTTATATGTATATGGATATATATTATAAGGTTTTATAATTAAATGATGTATTCATTTTATTAAGTGAAGGAAGAGTTTTGTAATTATGGTTAAGTAAGTTTCAGTTGAGGTTAAGGAAAGAGAGGTTAATATTTTAAGTGGACAGTTTCCTACTTAGTTTTAGGCTTATCTCATTTTACGCATTTTCTCGTATGCATTATAAGTTCATAGCTCGAAGAATAGGAACAAGAAGAAAACTATCTTAGGAATGTACATCCTTCTTCTTTTGCTTATCAAGGTAAGAGGGAATGAGAAATATCACTCTAAATGTGAGAATGTATGATAGGTAGTGGAATTGATACCAATCCCTTCTTTGTTGTCTCTATTATATGTCTTGTGTGTGAAAGATTTTTCCAATATCTTTTTATGTTTCTGCTTATATGTTCTAATTGATGTCAATTGTATGTATATGATTGTAATTTTTGAGTTTGACCTATAATTGCACAATTTTGGATTGCCTATAGTTCCTATAGGAAAACCTTGTTTATAAAAAAATGTGAAGATTGATGTTAATTGCATGAGTATGTGAAATTGAGGTTGTATTTGAGTAATTGACAATATAATGGACTAGTATTAGGCTTTAATTGTGAATTTTATTGATTGGTTTGGAGTTTTAGGTTTGTATTGTGTAATTTTCGCACAATTCATAAGTCTCCTGCAAAATGATATCACGTTGGGTGTCATTTGATGCTTCCCATACGAGATTTGGCATCAAGTGTGACCTTAATCACATCAGGCACATGTGTGATTGAGAGTTGCGATCCTCTCATGCCGAGCATAATAATCATTGTGTCGGGTGCAATACTGTTAGTATCGGGTTTTGTGACCTTCATATGAATTGTAGCACTGGATGTTAGCTTTCAAATGACATTAGAACTACCTAAAAGGAGGTTTATAACTTAAGTTATGATCAAATTAGTAAGCAAAGGTCAGACTATCAAATTTAGACTAAAACATTAGTTTTGTATTTTTTAAAAATAGTAGATGGCATAATTAGCTTTTGAGGTCAATATTGAAATTAGAGATAATTGTCTTAGCTTTCTAAGAAAATTAAGATCAACTTGATAAAATATATATAGCTCTAGATAAGGTTTTTGGACCACCCGGTGTCTTAGAAGATTAAGTTATAGTAATGTAGTTTATGAATGGTGATGATGGATAACTTTATCCTTTAAGTATTTGATATTATGAATGGATTGAGGTACCTATATCAATGTTTAGGAAAGATAAATCATGGGAGAAATTAATTGTTAATAAGTTGTGATTTAAGTTGATTGTTAACGACTTGAGATGTTTTGATGATAACGATGTCTAAAGACTTAATGTGTGATATTGATAAGGTTACTAGGTTAGCTAAGTTATCGATTTAAATGCTTAATGATGTTGATCTCTTAATAACTATGACCAAGGTGTTAACATATGATTAGACGATCTCATAATAATTCTATCTTGATGTGTGTTGGGTGATGTTATATAATTGTTATATTTAAACTGCAAACATGTGTAATCATTGGACTAATTAATATTAATAACTAGTTGTCACTAGTGCAAAAATTGGATTTAAAATCAGAGTTTTAAGATCGGTTACAAGGTAACCGATCTTAAAAGTGACGCGGTGGCAATTTTGTAAATAACATGAACACTTTTAAGGTCGGTTACAGAAAAACCGATCTTAAAAGTTGTATCAGACATAACTTTTAAGATCGGTCATAAAATAACCGATCTTAAGATTTTAAAATTGCTACTTTTAAAATCGGTTATTTAAGAACCGATTTTGTATGTAGTATAAAAAATTGGTTATTAAATAAAAGATTTTAACAATATAGTCAGAAATCTTTTATATTTCCCTCTATTCTCATTCTCTTTAATCTTTCCCTCCATCCTTTTTTTACTCTCTACGCTCTCATTTTCTAAAATCTCCAATAAGGTAAATTTCGTTGTCATTTTCGTTTTCATTTTCGTCTTCTCATGCTCTTCTTGTGTCTTTTTTCGTTTTTTCATGATCTTCTCTTGTCTCTATTTTCGTTGTAGGTTCATTTTGGGTAAATTTCGAATTTGGAACGGCCCGTTCTACAAGGAGAACAACCCGTACTGAAAGTTAACTTTTTAGGCCTTTTGAACAGCCTGGAACAGCCCATTCCAGTTTTGGAATGGCCCGTTCCAGTTTAATTTTTTTCGCTACCCGGACTTTTAAGATCGGTTATAAAACAACCGATCTTAAAGGTTAACTTTTTAAATCGGTTGTTTAACTGATTTTAAAAGTCTAACTTTTAAAATCAGATCTTTAATAATCAGTTACGGAACCGATTTTAAAAGTTAAAAATAACCGATTTTAAAAGTCTTTTTTCCACTAGTGTGTGATATGTGAGTATGCTATTGATATGATTGTGAGCTATGTATGAGTTGTATTGATGTGATCCTGTATGTCATTGATTGCTAATATTTAATTAATATAGTTGAATTGTTAATTGTTATATTGAGATCAAATGATGATTATATGATGTAAGATCAATTGACTGTGAAATGATATGATAATGTGAAATAATAAGACATGTGATATGCGAATTAATGAGATCATGTGAAATGTTATGCATAGAGTTTGTTAGACATACATCATATGTATAAAGTGTTTTTAAGGGTAAGATATGAAATATACCGTCAAGAAGACTCCCTTGTGTAAAGGCTTGGGGTTTAGTCCTTAAGGATACGTTGGTTTGGAGCCCTAGTCTCACCCTTTTGTGCATGAGATATATCTTACGCAACTCAACTATCCCGACTAAACGTTGGTAGTATGTCCTCCTAGTGAGAGTGGGTAGAGAGTGTTACCCGACATGTACTCCTAAGCTACTCTACATGTATTGCTAGCGGTAATTCATAAGTGTGATGTGTGATGTTTTTACTAACGCCACATGCATGATAATATGTAGTATGTATCTATTGCATATGCATCTTACTATTAAGTGTTATTTAATTATTATGTCATGAAATAGTGAAATGTTTTATTATTATTAATATGTCCATGTTATGTATATATGTATGCCTTGTTTGTGTTTGGCTATTCAGTGACATTCCTACACCATGAGCCAGAGTGAGATATTTCTCACTCACTTATTTTGTTTGTTATTTTTTTTTCTTGTTTTCTATAAGTGATCATTAGCATGTGTTAAAGATGCTGGTGATGAGACTTAGGATTCATGTTGGATTGCTCTGATAGGACATATGACATCAGGGTGTAGTTAGGACTAGTTTAAGAGTTTGCTTCATGTTATTAAATTTGAGAGCTTTGGTTTTAATTTCTTTATAATTTCGTTATTTCCATTAAGTCTAGTTGCGTTAACAATGTGATTCTCTCTACTTGTATGGATTTTAAGTTCATTTATTTTACATGAGGAATTTCAGTTTCATATTATTTATGTGTTATGATATGCAAGGTAGAGGGTATCACATATTATGACAAATTAGAAGGAACTACAATAATACTTTTTAATATTTTGGAGATTAAAAGCACAAATTTTAAAATTTGAGGGGTCAAAACAATTTTTTTTTGAAATTATAAGGACTAAAAACATAAGTTTTAAATTTGAGGAATAAAAAAGTATATACTCCAAATTTGTGAGACTAAAAAACATTTATATCCTATACTCGATTTTCCATATCCTCTACATGAGAATTATCCTTTAAACATGTTACCATCTTTTTAAAATTGAAGAGACTAGTTAAAGAATATTGCAAACAGGAAGTTTGCATCTTTAAGTTATAAGTGACAAATAAGAATACTTGTTGTAAAAAAGTTTTCAAGTTAGTGGAACCTTCACAGTTTGAAGGTAACTAGATGTAAATTAGGTTGGATGAACCAATATAAAGATTTAAGTTTTTTTTTCTCTTTCCTTTCTCCTCTACTTATCTTGGATGAAAGATTATAAATGAACTCATATTTGCTTATTTTCAAAAAAAAAAAAATTTAATACTTACAGACACGCATCCAACCCCCCTTTTGTGTGTTTCTTGTTTCTTGTTGTGTACAATGGACAAAATCCAAATATCAACTTCAAAAGACTAGGATCAACCAATTACAAACTTAATCATGGTTTTTAACTGTTTGAAAGAATAAAATTGACAATGAGAACATGATAGAAAATTTTCAATTTAAAAATTTTAGTAGAAGACAACCTTTATTGAGATTTAGAGACTAAATTGTGATTTCATTGCCTCCTTCCCCCGATGTAAATTGTGTGAATTCTAATTCTTTACTACTAATTTTACTTCTAAAATTGGAACAACTTTTGCCCATGGAAGTTAATAGTATTTCCCATGGAAAACCTCAAATTGATCATGGAGAGTTATCATAAAGCATAAAGCAAAGAATATTAGTTTAATCATGTAAATTTTAAAAGTCCAATTATTTTTAGGTTCCATTAACCAAAAGAGATTAAT